CAGCTCCGCAGCCTGCGAGGTTTGCTCCGGTGCTCTCCGGTGCGTAAGGGGAGAAGGCACCTTGGCGGTGCGGGTTATCCTGTGGGCAGCGTTATCCCATGGGCAGGTGTATGCGCAGTGGGGTGCAGAGTGCCCCAGGCCCGGTCCCCTTGTGCCCTTGGGCCCGTTCTGAGGAGCTGCACCCACCCCATGGCGGGCCTGGCCCTGCCCGAGCGGCTCTGCAGCATCGGGGCTGCATCGGCGCAGCGTCCGTCGCATCCCACCTTCCCGGCCTTACGGAAACTACAGCCCGCCAGGAATGTAGCTGACGGAGTCACAGGCTGGGTGAGGTTGGAAGGGACCACTAGAGATCATCTAGTCCGACCCCCCTGCTCCAGCAGGGAAACCCAGAGCACGGGGAACAGGGCGGCATCCAGGCGAGTTTGGAAGATCTCCAGAGAAGGAGACTCCACAGCCTCTCTGGCGACGCTGGCAACATCCCTTAGATCCTGTTTGACAAAATTAAGACCTCATTTGCAGCCTGTGTCTTCACCACTGTTTTTTCCTCTGTACTTTTGCCTGAGGTAGAGCTGACTAGACAAAGCAGAGGATTACCCTTCAGTGCTTCAGCAGAGGGTAACTCTTTCTCACCTACCCGAAGTAGCACTGATTTAATGATCCATTTTCGCTTCAATTTTTTTTTTCCTCATCACAAAAGTCCTGCACATGATGTGCTTTTTATCTCCTATTTCATAGATTTCAGCAGAAATCTCAGGAGTTCCTATCAAGAGACAAATATTTTTTTCTTTAATCTGGACTTATTAATTAGAAAAATGCCATTTGGTTTGCCCACGGGTTAGTGAAATTAATTCAGTGCTAATTGCCATGTGTATATCTCTCTGATAAAAATAAAATTACCAGGAAACGACGGGATGCTGTTTTACGTGGCGACACCCATGGGCACGCGTGGCCGTGCAAGTGGCCCGGGCAGGTGGGCAAAGCGTGTCCGGGGCGCCGTGCGCCGCTCCCGCCGCTCTCCCTCCGGCTCCCTCATCCCGCTCCCCTCCCTCCTCCTCCCGCATGGCGCCCTCGGAGCTGCTGCTGCGGTGGGACCGACATTGACTCCGTGATTTCTGACTTGCTCAATAGTGGCTCAGGTTGCTTCCTTCATCAGAGCTAAGTGTTCATCAGTGCTAGGTTTAAAAGGGAAAGCGGTTCTAAATTCCTTTAGAAGAGTGTGCTATGGAAGGACAGATTGGGAAATATCAAATAAGTATCTACAGAGGAAGAAAAATTACCCTAGCAAGCCGTTCAGTAGCATTTATTTACTCTTTAATACCTTAGGGCTAATAGATTAATGTGCAGGCACCGGGTGAGATGGAAATCCCAGTGCATCCGTATTTGTGGAAAGCTGCTGGAAAAACCTCGCGCTTCCTGTTGGAAGTGGTGGCTCTGCTTCTGGTGCCACTTAACCACAGGGTTTTCCTTAATCCTTGTACACACTAATGGCTGGTCGTGGCCCTCAGGTAGCCACATTCATACTATACCACTATGATTATATTTATATGTAATATCAATACATATAAAAAGAAAAACAGCTCATCAGCAGAAGCTTGGCAAATACTGGGATGTTTTCTGAACAAATTCCTACACTTTTGCTTTGTGTGTATTTTAGCAACTTTCGAAAGATGTTATTTGGTTTATATTTTGCAGAAGGGTGGCATAATTATTGATGGCCTGCTGGAACATGCCATATACTCCTGTTTTCCTGCAAGTATAATCCCCCGGGGATTGTTTGGAAATATTAAAGCTGTTTATCAATTTGAAAGAGAGCAAAATATTCATTTTGTGCCCTGCATATCCTGCACTTCTTTCCTAGAGATTGATAGCGAAATTTCTCAAAAATGTATCTCTAGTTTTCTGTCTATTGAAAATGGCCTATTTATCATTTAAATATTCATGTGCTTTTAAAATCCAGAAAGGAGGGAGGATAATAAATTAGACACTCAGTTAATGTTTTTGATTATGCAACAATGATTTTGAAGCAATTTTCATTATGGAACAATTTCAGGACAAAGAATTGTCCTGAAATTATTTTACTAGTGTCACTGCTTTGATTTCTTCTCATCTCTGTTTTCTCATAAAAATAAATAAGATAGTGTAGGTGAAATTAGGCAAAAATAGAATTTAAACATAAATCACTGTGAAGAAATATTTAAGAATCTAAATCTAGAATTTAGTGGGATTTACGAAAACCTCCTTTTGTATGGTGTGCCCAATAGCCGTGAGCCTGAAGCGGGCGGGAAGCTCCTCTCCTGCTCAGGGGCTCTGTAAAGCCCCTGGGCCCAGCCGGTGGTTTAGATCCCTGCTGTAAGTATCCCAAAGGAGGTGCCCGGTTTCGAACTGGTGCAAACACACGGAGAGCTGCCAGTGTTTCGGGCTGAGAGCTAAACGTGGCTAATGCCGCTGGCCACTTAGCAGCCCAAGGCGTAACAGGGGAGCTGAAGGTGCAGGTTAGTCCGCCTGCCTCTGGAAGGGAAGGGTCTTTGCAGGCCTAACCCAGCGTGCAGCCCGAACGCAGGGATACCCGATCCCCATGTGCAAGTCTGCGTGTGTCTCCCTGTGTCCTTGTCTCTGTGTGCATGGCATCACAAAGTCCATGCTGGAACCAGCAGCGCAGCCGGCACCTTGCTTACCCCATCCAGGCCTTCAATTGCTAGGCCAGACTAGAGTCTCTGATCATAAGATACTTAATTTATGACTAGAAAGGGCTGATTAGATCATCTAATCTCTGCTTCTCTGCATTACTGACTCTTTGCCCAGCTGCCTTTCTGTGAAACCCAATAACTTGTATTTGACTAAGGGATAACTTCTGTTTTTTTGCAGAAATTGATTTTCTAGGGAAGTCTCCGCAAACCTTGATGTCAAGAAGTGGGGAATCTGGTACATTCTCCTTTTGCTAATTGTGCTAACGGTTAATCACAGGTGACGGAAACTGTGTGCTTAATTTCTCGTTTGACTTTGGCATTGGCTTCCAGACATGAGTTTGTGTTATATATTCCCTACTTTGCTAGATTAATGAGCCAGTTGGTATTTCCGTTCCATGAAAACACTTATATGCTGAAATTAAGACATCCTTTTTTTTTTTTTTTCTGTTAAACTATATGGGTTGAACTCTCCGAATGTTTCCCATTAAAGTATTTTCTTCAGCGCACTGATCACTTTTGCAGCTGCTTTCTATGATCTCTGGGTTCCTCAACTTCTTTTCTAAATTGTGGAGATTGTAATCCTACTGCACATAGTGATGGGGCAAAATATTAGTATTGCCAGTAAAAGTTTTTTGAAAAATACTTTCCTTTTGTTTACTGCTCTCTGTTTCCAACCTTATGATGCCATTTATTGCCGTATGAAATTGGGTTTTAAGGAGTTAGCTTTTCTTTGCTGGAGGAAACCCTTCTGGGTAAGGCCGTGTGATAAAACAGCATAAAAAGTTTGAATTATTTGTCTCCTGTCCCTTACTTGATTCTTGAAAATGATGGGTTTGCTTGGTGTGGGTTTCCCCATACACACACAAGCTGTCTTCTGAGCTGGAGGCCAGTCGGGGCTTTTGCCAAAGGTTTTCTGGCCAGGTGACCAAATCCGGGCTTAGATCAGGGTGGTCACTGCTGCAGCCCCTGCTCTCGGCGCTGCCTGAGCAGCGCCCGGCGTCTCCAGCGGCTCCACCAGTGACCGGGGGTGTGAGATCTGTAAGCCAAACAAATGGAAACGGAGCCCAGCTAATTTGTGAATGTAATCACAGTAGAAGGAACCTGATATTTTAGTTTACAGTGCTACAGTGTTTCTCTTTTCTGATTTGTTTTACACTCTGTGTTAGACTCTGGTGAATCCTGCTGAAGCCTTCATGGCAGATCAGCCGTTTTTCAGCTGATAGCTCTCTCCGGAGCAGCCCCACAATGTCCCAGCTCCTGATGCATCCCGCAGTGTCAGAGTGTCAAACAGAGCTAATTTCAATATATCAATATTCTAAATTTATTTTCTGTAAGACATGGAGAAGTCGTAAGAGCAAAATACTCTAGTTTTTTCAGATTACTCTAATAATGCTATAATTTTTCAGGTTATTTATACGGAGTTTTGTTTCTTGAGTATGTTATGTTCTGCATAAACATACATACACCATGGGAAAATGGCAAGGAAACAATTCCAAAACAAGATGGAGAGGGGACAGCAGTCACCTCAGAATGTTGTCTGAGAATTAGATAGGTGAAGTATGGAGGTACCACACTTTATTACATACATTCGGTAGAAAAACTCAGGAAAATAATTTAGCTGACCTATCTTGAATACTTTTTGATGCTATAGATAGCATTTCTTGTCCCTTTTATAGTCACTGATCTCTGCTTAGAAAGGGTATCACTCTTTGATGTGTGAGGGTTGTATTGGGGTAGATGCTTAAATTTGTATCACACTGGTGTAGATGAGAGCATGTAACATTGCAACTGAGAATTAGCATTGGATTTATGAAAGCTGTCTCCTGGTGATGTTTTAAAATATTTTTTTTATTAAATTGAATACTAAAATGCTGCTTAGTGGATAGTTTTAAAAACTGTTGGATATTTGTGTGAAAGGATGTGATTAATTTAGAAAGTCTCCAATGGATATCTCGTTCCACTTTCCAGCACGGAATGATTCGGTTATACAGACGAACACCGAGGGCCAAGGCCCGAGGTGCAGGGCAGGGAGCTGTGGGGTGCATGGGGGTGCATGGGTGTTTGAAGCGCGTTACACACGGCCGAAGGGGCTGGCAAGCGCCGGCCGAGGTCCCGGTGTGAGAGGGAGCATCCTGAGAAGGGACCCGGCGTTGCAGAGCGGTTGCCTGCTCAGGTCTGTGCCGTGTGTTTGTGTCTCCCATGGTTCTGCCCAATCTCCTGCCTTGGGAGGGCACCGGGTACCGCGGGGAGCGACGGAGCGGGAGAGCGGGGCCGCCGAGCGCCGCGTGCTGACTGGGTCGCTGTCTCCTGCAGGCCTCGCGGGCGGCGGATGCGGAGAGCTCCATGGTAGCTCCAGCGGCCAGACTCCGGAGAGCAGCCTGCGCGGAGCCGCCGTCAGCAGCCCGGGGGTCTCGCGAGCAGGTAAGGCCGAGCGCCGCGCTGCGGTGGGAGTCAGCAACACGGCTGGGGTGGGAATCAGCAACACTGCCGTGGTGGGAATTAACTCCAAATAAGAGGTAGGATCTCCCTCAGCGCTGCCCCTGCGTTTCTGTCAGTGCTGTCCTGCCGCTGACCTAAGGTTTGGGCTCTCTTACCATCGTGCAGTCATTTGCAGAGGCTGTTCCTATGTAGCATTCATAGGTGCTCTGCAGACTTTTCAGGTGGTTGATGTGCTCCTGCCACACAGCTGCCTTCTAAATCCCTGGCTGCGCTAGTTGCAGCACGTGGGATATTCTGGCAAGCACCTTAAGGAAGCACAGAATCTATCCCCTATTTTGGTGAATTGCAGAGAAAACAGTAAATCAAGACCCTTTCATGTCTTGGGAAAATTCAAGGGACTGTACAGCTGTATCCAGTATATCACTATATATATTATATTATATTATATTATATTATATTATATTATATTATATTATATTATATATATTATATATATATATATTTGAGTATATCACTAGCGCTGGGAACAGAGACAGTGTCTGTGCTCCTATGCATTTGTACATGTACGGGTTGTATTTTTTCCCTAAGCTTTCCCTTTTTGCCCTAACCTTTCACTGGCATTTGTGTGGAGGTGCTTATGTGCCACCATTTTTTCCCCCAAAGTCCCTGGTTTCCATGCACCATTCTGTGGTTATAACCCGCCTTCTTTGTTTCTTGGTACACAAGTCTATTTGGCTGCAATAAAAAGTGCCTGTCGTGCAGAGCAATCCATATTACTGTGAATAACCTGCCACCTTTATTAACCAAGCTGCTGATTTTTGTGTCATAAGCAACCACTCTCAGCAATGATTTATATTTCTTTTTGTGTCAGTGATGATACTCTTACATAATCTTGAGCTGGCGCTGACAGAATTTATTGAGGTAACACAGAGCACACTTCTTCGATTATTATTTCCCCTTGACAGCTACTTCTTTGTATCTATCACACATCTCTATCTTAATTCATTTAATTTATGTTTGATAGTACTGATAATAGAGCAGATTTCTTAATCTATGCAGTGTGGTTTGAAGCTAAATGCCCTACAAAAGTCCCTGTGTTTCATTTATGGGGTAACTTCTGCTCACCAAAACGTATAACTTGATTAAATGAAACCTTTGTGTTCTACTGACCTACTCCCCGTATAACAGTGTTGACTGGCACCACTTTTATTCATGTCATTTCCCAGTGAATTTATCCCTTATCACTTTGGTCATTATTTTGCCTGAGATTAATAGTTGGCTTAGAGCTCTGTAATTACACAGATCATAGTGCTTACCATCTTCAGAAGTTGGCAGGAAATGTTAATAGTCTTACTATATTTCGCTGGTGTTCCAAAATACATTGAAAATTAGCATCATTGAAGTGAGGCTCTCTCAAACACTTCTAAGATGCTAAGGCACAAATTATCTGGGTGTGCTGATTTAAAGTTGTCTTTTAGCATTCATTTTGATTACTAATGTGCTCCTCATCTGTATAAATCTTTTTTTTCCTACTGAAAAAGAGAGAATATTTAAGTCTTTTTTTTGCACAGTTCTTAACAGTTTTATAGTCTCCATATGCTGATGGGTCAGGACCGAGTTTGTTTCTCTGTTTTTAAAACATAAATCAGAATTTGGAAATCCTTAGTTCCTTTTCTGTTTTCTTTACTCATGATTTAGTCCATATTTCCTATTTAAATTATTGCCTGAGTATTTTTTAGTTTTTGTATTTATGTCTAATTAATGCCTTCAACAAAGAAGTAGGATATACTTCTATCCACTGTATAAGGGGACTTCTCTTTTGGGATTATTTAGTTAATAGCAATTTTTCATCCCTGGTAGTAATGGGGTAAGGGAGGTGTCTTTATTCCAAATGTACACATAATTTTCCTCTGTTTCTCTCAGCCACCCAACTTCCATGATAGTGATTACCTAGTGATTGAATATGCAGGTCCAGAATGCAGTTATTCTTTTTGTATTTGAAAAAATTATTCTGTAAATAAAATTCGGAAGCAACTCAGGTTTTACTACTGATGCATGATATTTCCAGCTGACATCTCTCAGATGGAAGCACTTTGTAATTCTTTTCATGTTTGACAGACAGATGGATAAAGGAACAGATCACCCAGTCTTCTAATATGGTTTGGTGTTTTACCCTGTCTCACATGAGCAGAAGTTTATCCCCTGGGATTTGTTGGATAGCACAGCATTTCTGTGCATTCCAGATCCTGTGCCCCAGCTTATCAGTAATTTGGGAGATGATGGTGTATTTAGCATGGAGTGTCATTGTCAGTTTCTTTTAGCCTTGCTATATTTAACAGCAGGTTTTCCTGAAAAGTTATAAATGTCAGTTTTGCCATTTTTATCGTGGAGATGCCCCAACAGTTTTAAGCATTAGCAGCATCATAAACTCCTATGGCCTTACTGGTCTCTCCTGCTTGTTGCCGCTACTTCATCTCTCCACGTTGGTTGTCACATGTTCAGATTAAGTTTCTGTTAATTCTGTTTCTGTAACACCTCCCAGTTGACTCTATGACCTCTTTGACTGCCCTAGATACTCTTTATCTAAGGAGAGTAAGCACATGTCAGCGAGATGCAACTTGTTCCATTAATTTTGTTCGTTCTCTTCATGATGGAAATTGCTGTTTCTAGACAGACAGGTCCTTTCAACTTTTCATTAAATACCTATCCAATAATTGACCATCAATATTCTAATTTTCTGTCATATGTAAGAGCAGGCTGACCTGAGTCTTTCACATTCTTTTTTTCTGAAATATGCAGCTATTTTTTACTAGCTGAAGTTAATATTAACTGGAATTGGTGATACGTGCTTTAGCACTTCTCTGGCTCATAGTAACACCAAGACTTTCATGTCCTAAAGCGAATGTCTCTTAACTAATCTGATGTGAAGACAGACTCAATAAAGGTGGAAAATTTGAAGCATCAGGTTCCATAAAAACTTTCCTGCAGCTTCCTGGTGTGGAGCCGTGTAGACGCCCCGTGTGGTGCTTTCCTTTGGTGGGGCAGGGGAGCAGTCTGCAGGAATGACCGTCTTGGAGAACTTCATATCAATCAATCACCCACCTGAACTGCTAAGAGGAAACTCAGAAAATGCCACAGGCATTTCTGTCCGAGGAAAACATATACCAGTGGATTAAGGGAATAAAAAAACTTTAAATATATATATATATTTCCCACTCCTTTGAGAGCCACGCAGCATACGGAAATGGGAAATCAGTTCACACTATCAACTTCATTCTCCTTCCCTCCTTTAATGGACTTGGCTTTTGTGAAGTTTGTTCTAGGAAGACGACAAGATACAAAACGCCAGGTGTGGAGAGGATCCCTGCTGGCGTTTGTCTGAGTTATCTTTCCCATTCAGGAGTCAAGTTATGGAGTCTAAGGAGAAATACTTCGGAGTCCCTTCCTCAGGAGGAACTTCCTGTTACTCCTCTCAGTCTGGCACTTTGTCTCTTTCTTGTGAAGTAAATTTTTAACATCATCACAGACTAAAATCTCAATGTCCGAACTGCTCTGTAGGTGCAGAATAAATCAGAAGCATAGCGAAAACTACAGCAGCTTCAGTACAACCAAAAGGATCAGTGAATTCAGATATAGAAACAAAACTATTAATCACTTGCTGGTGGATCATGCCTGGAATTGGAATAAATTAGGTACAGAGGCTTGTTCAGTCCTGTGCTTTATGAGTTTAGTTGCCTGAGCTGGGGCCACGTTTTTGCATGTTGAGTATCAGATCTTTTTCCTGCCAGGGAGACACCAAAATTATTTCCCCACATTAGTAGTGCCTTTTGAAAATCATGGCCAAAATCATTATCAAAACTAGTAAGAATCCATTATAACAAAATGTAAGCATGCTAATCCTGCCCCATGCATTCTTACTGTTATCATTGGTTATTTTTGATATGGTGGAGGTGAGAGTGTCTAGAGGCTGACTATACTGAGATCATTTGTGATATGTTGTATAAATGCATACTGAGTTACAGCATCTTGACCAAAAACCTTGTAGTGAAAAAAGCAAGATGAAACAGAGAGATGAAGCAAAACTGTAGTGAGAACAGGGAGCACTGAGAGAATTCACTTAGAAACAGTAGGACTACGCACATGATACCTAGAAAGAAACAGATAGTCCTTCACTAGATTGATGATTAATATGTTAATTAATTACCTGGAATTTAAGAACTAAATGTTTTATAGGATGAGTGGAATACACTTGAAACAAATGGGCCAGCAGATTTCTTTTCTTTAAGGAACTTAGAATTGGATGCATCTTAAGAATGTCAAAGATAAAAAGCAATAGAAAAAAAAGTTGTGGCCATTTTGGGTAGAAGTATACAAGCACAGAGTGACGCCTGGAAGTGTTCGGTGTTGGCCAGTGGAGCTCCTCAGACGCATTATTGTGATGTGAATGGAGAGAGTTTCGTTGTGGGTGGGCGCTCGGGCCGTTCCTTTTGCTGTAGTGCATGTCTCCTGCCGTGCCAGGAACAATGTGCTTTATACAAGGACTGGGACAGGAGCTATCATAAAGGAGTTGGCTATGGATTTTTCTGCCTTTCAAGTGCATGGGTTTTGTGCAAATTGTATCACTTCTGTGCATACTTGTTGCTTAACATTTTTCTTTTGCAATTGGTGACTGGTATTAGTTTTAATTTAGGTAGGACTGTGTTGGTGCTGCACAGCACAGGCAGAGCAGCTTTCTGCACAGTGGGAGCAGGTAGACCTTGCCCTTTCAGCAGCCAGTGAATCAGACTTACCACAATAATCAAACTAATTTGTAAATAATACCCTTTGTAATGAGATTCTTGTTTTTAGGTAATGAGACATCGATATATTGCTTTTGATTTCTAAAGCCCATTTTTCTAATGTTGTCAACAAATAAACTAGAGCCTGTGGGGACAAGACATGAACTAGTAATTTTCCTGTTCAGGCTTCATCATTCATAATGT